ATATGCAGATGATACCACTCTGATGGCAGAAAGTGAGGAGGAATTAAGGAACCTCTTAATGAAGGTGAAAGAGGAGGGCGCCAAAAATGGTCTGAAGCTCAACATCAAAAAAACTAAAATCATGGCCACTGGTCCCGTCACCTCCTGGCAAATAGAAGGGGAAGATATGGAGGCAGTGACAGATTTTACTTTCTTGGGCTCCATGATCACTGCAGATGGTGACAGCAGCCACAAAATTAAAAGACACCTGCTTCTTGGGAAGAAAGTGATGACAAACCTAGTCAGCATCTTAAAAAGCAGAAACATCACCTTGCCAACAAAGGTCTGCATTGTCAAAGCTATGGTTTTTCCAGTAGCGATGTATAGAAATGAGAGCTGGCCCATAAAGAAGCCTTTTGAATTGTGGTGCTGGAGGAGCCTCTTGAGAGTCCCCTGGACTGCAGAGAGAAAAAAACCTATCCATTCTGAAGGAAATCAACCCTCAGTGTTCACTGGAAGGACAGATCCTGAAGCTAAGGCTCCAGTACTTTGGCCATCTCATGAGAAGACTCCCTGTAAAAGACCCTGATGTTGGAAAGTTTGAAGGCAAGAGGAGAAGGGGACGACAGAGGACGAGATGGTTGGACAGTGTCATCGAAGCCACCAACATGAATTTGACCCAACTCTGGGAGGCAGTGAAAGACAGGAGGGCCTGGCGTGCTCTGGTCCATGGGGTCACGAAGAGTCAGACATGATTTAACAACTAAAAAACAACAATGCTTTACTTAATGATTACATAACTTTATTTTTGTTTATTCCTCAAGATAGGGTGAAATAAAGTACCTTTCACTAGTGCTCCTGTTCAAAGTAGTCTGTGTTAGTCTGTGCAAGCATATAAACAAGAAACACAACCTAAAACAATAACAAAGAAAAATAAATAAGGCAAAAATGTTAAAGACACACTGCTGTTATTTTAATGTAAGTTTTCACGGAACAAGTCCATTTCTTCCGACATAAGAGTAAGAATACAGAAAGTACATGGCAAAACAGTCATACATGGCTCTAAGATAAACTGTAGTAGTTGGTAGTTTTAATTTGTAAATAGTGTGAGTTATTTTGGCATTTATACTTAGTAACGACAAGCCCCATTTTGTATTCAATTAATATCTTTTGAAACTTGTTCTGTAAACAGCAACAAAATACCGCTTAATGTGAGCTTTCCTGGAATAAGTCAACTTCTTATGTCTGAAGATGTGGACTTGATTTACAAATGCTCATATTAAAATATTGCAGTTAATCTTTTAAGGTGCCACAACGTCTTTATCTTCTTTATTTCGTTGCTTTTGTTCTGTTGTTTCTTGTTGATATGCTTCTTTCACTAATGCACATAAATAGAATCAGATTCATTTAGCCACCAACTGTTGATACTGTTTACAGAACTCAGTATCATCTTTACCAGGTGTGAAATGCCAGTCAACAACTTGTGGCCCGTTCAGTCTTTTTCACTTAAAAAAAGTCTCAAAAACAGTTTGTCCAAACGTCCTCAAATTTGGTGCAGAGCAAGAGCTGTCCGTCTGCTCAATCTGTGCCAAATTTGGTGTGGATCCTAGGTCCAGTTTAAAATTATAATTTTTTGTTTGGAGGGAATCTCCTTAGTTTTTGAATTGCCTTATGAAATGCTGCATTGGGCTGTTGCACAATTTCTACTGTATTTGCCATGAAACCTTAGGACTGTGTCTGAGGACCTGGACTTGTCCACGAAAGCTTGCTTTAAAATAGGGAAATTAGTTTTCAAGGTGTCACAAAGTTTTTGTCTCCTTTATATATATATATATAGAGGCGGGACGTAAGAGTTAAGCCGCTGGGGAGCAATTGAGGCAAGTATATATATATATTGCAGTTAAATATATATTCATAATTAGGTGTATATATATGTTTTTGTTTCTGTTTTGTCTTGCTTCTTGCCTCAATTGCTCCCCACCGGCTTAACTCTTACGTCCCGCCTCTATATATATATATATATATATATAAAGGAGACAAAAACTTTGTGACACCGCCGGTGTACCCAGGGGAAGAAATAAAATTAGTCAAACTTTCAGAATGAAAATAAAAGATGTGTCTGAAGAAAGTTTTGTTTCGCGCTCTCGGTGAGCCTAACAAACGCTTCGCTCCTTTCAATGTGGGAAAGAAAACGTCAAGGAACGAAACGGCAGCCTCGCAGGGGACGCTCCCGCCTCTGCCGCCAAAAAGTCTTCGCGACCCAAGCGCCGCTCGGCGCGCGCCGACACGTGACACTCCCCCCCGCCCCCCCGCCCCTCTGCGAAAAGAGCGCGCGGGGTGGGTGGGGACGAGGAGGGCGCGAGCAAACCGCCTTTTCGAACTCTCCTCCGTAATCCCCGCACGTGACCCCCCTCCCCGGAACGTGGCATTGTGTGGTCACGTGACCCTGTACGGGGCGTGCGGGCGGGGTGGTGGGCCGTTCAGGAGGCATAGAGGGGGGGGCTGCGTACGCGACGGAGCTGGGTGCGAAGATGGCGGACGAGGAGGCCGAGCAGGACAGCGGGAGGATCGGCGGTGGCGGCGCCGAGAGCGGCCTCCCGGATATGCAAAGCTTGAAGGAGCGGCTGCTGGAGTTGGAGACGGGGCTGAGAGAGAGCAGCGCTACGGCCGTGGAAGCGGCCACCGAGTACTGTCAGCAGCTCTGCCAGGTCAGGATGGGCCTGGTCGCTTCTTGGGAGGGAGCCTGGCCCTTGCCCGCTTGCCCTTTGGAGCAGAGGCGGCGGCGAAGCAGGAAGGTGCGAGTCGCTGGGCCGCGCTTCTGCGGAACGCCAGCGCTGCTCATTGAAACGGTCTCTAGGCAGAGCAAGGCGGTGGGCCCGCCCCCCTTCCGCCGGGAGGCGAGCTCCTCACGGTCCCGGAATCCCCTCCCCCGTCCGAGGGGGGGAACAGCGCGGCTTTCCCCCCTCCCACCCCGTGCGGCCGCCTCCGCCGCCCTGGGTCCTGGCGCTCCCGTATCTTGACTCGGCCCCTTTGTTGGCGCTGGGGCCGCCTCGGCTTCGGAGGGGCCTTTGTCTGCTGATGGCGGCGACGGCGGCGGCGAGCTCCTCTCCCTTCCTTCGGCCGTGCCATAAGCGTGAAAAAGGGGCTGGGAAGGAACGCTTCTTCCCGGGGAGGAGTTAGGGGGGGAGTCGTGAGGGAAAGCGGGCACCGTCGCCTGCCCCATTGTGTCTCTCTGGGATGGGCGCTCACCCTGCTTCCCAGTGTGTGTGCTGGGATCACCTGTACGAGGGCAGAAGGGACACATCCACCTCCTAGGAGGCTACTGTGAGGCCCCCCCCTCTTATCCCCTCTGAATTAAATCACCTTATCTGAGAAGGTCCAGCTTTTTCACTTTGCATTGGCCAAGAATCCAAGGCATACACTGTGTTTTTAGTGCTTGTTCAGCCTATTGCTGTTTGTACCAATTCAGATGTGCTTGGTTGTATATGGATATGTCAGCTGCCAAACAGCCCTTGTTGTCTTAAACCCTGAAAGAATTCGGAGTGTTCACAAATGTGTTAAACGCGTTTACAAAACCCTCACAAAGTAAACCTTTCCTTTTGTTTACTTTCGTATAGACGGAGAATATGGTAAAAGGTATTATATCCCAATAATGAATGGTAATTCATTTTCATTAATGTTTATAGTTACATTTGATTCGAAGACCACGTTGGTTGTTCTAAGTAGTTTGAACTAGTTTCACATTATTTACATTTGCACTGTTTCAGAACCTTTAGAGTAAAAATTTTCACAGAACTGTCAGCTGAAACTGCAAGTGATGGTTCATCTTCGTACAACAGTAAACTCACCACCTCTCTGTGGGGAACTAAAGTACCTGCTTCTGGACTATGGAAAGTGGCTGGGTTTAGACCAGCTTTCCAGCTGTGTATTGGGTCTCTGGTTTAGAATTTGGAACCTACAGAACAGGGAGAAACTTACGTTTTTGATACTTGAAGTTTAAATTTATGAAAAAGTACATTATATCAGATAACTTTATGCAATCTTTTAAAACTGCAAAATGGAAGTAAATCAGTATTTTCATCCGGGGGTCCACGTATCTTTACTTGAGTGTTTGTATTTCAAAACACCTTTGTAATTACTCTTTTTTGAAATTTGAAACAGTCATGTCCTGTATTTTGAGTTGTATATCAGCAGTTATTTTACCAGTGGAGAAAACTTCAGTTCTTCAAGGCCAAATAATCCAGAACTAAAGTGTGTGAGTTGAACATGTATTGGGAGACTACATATTGGAAGCACACATGTGTCGTATGCAAAAGATACCAAGTTTATTCTTTGACATCTCTAGATACCTGAAAGTCACTGGTAGGAGCTATGCTCAGCTGATTCCATCTCACATTAATAGACGAACATATGAAATAGTCCTTTGCCTGAAAACAGTTCTCTTGCTCTACCATTACTGACATAGGCCGAGGCAAAGAGGCAGTCACGAAAGCAGCAAAATCGGGGAGCTGGACAGGGGACAGATTGTATTTGTCTTCAATGTGGAAGGGATTGTCACTCTCGAATTGGCCTTCTCAGCCACACTAGATGCTGTTCCAAGTTCTCCATGCAGAGGTATTGGGTCTCTGGTTTAGAATTTGGAACCTACAGAACAGGGAGAAACTTACGTTTTTGATACTTGAAGTTTAAATTTATGAAAAAGTACATTATATCAGATAACTTTATGCAATCTTTTAAAACTGCAAAATGGAAGTAAATCAGTATTTTCATCCGGGGGTCCACGTATCTTTACTTGAGTGTTTGTATTTCAAAACACCTTTGTAATTACTCTTTTTTGAAATTTGAAACAGTCATGTCCTGTATTTTGAGTTGTATATCAGCAGTTATTTTACCAGTGGAGAAAACTTCAGTTCTTCAAGGCCAAATAATCCAGAACTAAAGTGTGTGAGTTGAACATGTATTGGGAGACTACATATTGGAAGCACACATGTGTCGTATGCAAAAGATACCAAGTTTATTCTTTGACATCTCTAGATACCTGAAAGTCACTGGTAGGAGCTATGCTCAGCTGATTCCATCTCACATTAATAGACGAACATATGAAATAGTCCTTTGCCTGAAAACAGTTCTCTTGCTCTACCATTACTGACATAGGCCGAGGCAAAGAGGCAGTCACGAAAGCAGCAAAATCGGGGAGCTGGACAGGGGACAGATTGTATTTGTCTTCAATGTGGAAGGGATTGTCACTCTCGAATTGGCCTTCTCAGCCACACTAGACGCTGTTCCAAGTCCTCCATGCAGAGCACGATACCATAGTCTCTCGAGACTGAAGGATGCCTAAATTGACATAAGCAAAAAAGCATTAAGCCTAACCATGGTTTCCCATTTTGTTCCAACCAGGAAACTCTGTTTAGATGTTCCAAAAGAAGCCAGGATATGAAATGAGTTTCAACCTATAGTTTCATATCACATCTTTTTCTGAAACTAGTAGCCGTAATTTAATGGTCCACACAAAATAGGAAAATGTGGTTAATAAGCGTTCTTTCTGGTTTGTTTTATTATGCAATATAAACAAGATTAGAAGAGATTGTTATGTGGCATGAACTTCTTTTGTCTTGCCCTATTGGTATAATCTTAGTTTTGTCATATGAACGAATAGTAGCCTAATCCTCATTGTTGTCCTTTGTGACATTGCTGCAATCAGTTGAATTAGAAAATTAACTTTGGTCAATAGAACTCCTGATGTCTTGGGTGAATAAACTTTCAGCAAGACTCAGACTGATTTGGACAGTCGTTCAGAGGTTCCTATATAATGATTTATATACAGTAGCTTGGAATTAGTGCTGCAGTCAGGTGCCCCTCACCCTTCTCTTTAGATGAGCATACCTGGTAGACAGAGTCCATTTAATCAAAACCAAAGAATTATGTCTTAATGTGAGTATAAAAGCTAATACGAAAAACAAGAGTTAGACATATGTCAGATTGTACTAAGCATAAATCATGTCTCAGTAATTACCTTTTGTTGTGCCTGTTATGTTGGCAAGTGATTTTTATTGAAGAGTGTTACAGACCTTGGTTTGTTGATTCAGATGTACCCCAAGATAGAAAATCTGTGTGCTGATGTAAATGTTTTCATCTTGAGTTCTTGGATTTTTTTGGATTTCCACTTCCAGAAGCCCTGGTGCCCATGGCCAGTGATCAGGGATTGTACAGTTTGTCATTCTGAATATCTATGGGACTAAAGGTTGAAGCTACCTCTGCAGTGTAATATTTAAATCATCATAGTTCACAACGCTGAAACAAAAGCTGGCCTTTCTAATTCAATAAGAGTCCTCCAATTCAACCTTCTCAAATCATTTGTATATTATTCAGCCCCAGCAAGCATGACTTTTTGTCCACAGTGACAGGAGGGTAATAGGTTAGGGAATGCTGCTCCAAAACTATGTGCAGTCTTATATTTTAATTCTGATAGCATAACATAGGGCCACTGTCGAAGCACAATCTAATATTAATTTAGGGTTCACTTGTGTTATTCCATGTATAGTTGCTTCAAATTGGAAGATCCCAGTTAGGGTTGGGTACCAATAAAGTATATCAGTTACGTTCCTTACAGTTTATTATGAAATACAATAAATGCTGCTTCCCTGTGTTGTAGTCACTCGATACTACTGGCACAGGTGAGGATTTTCTGCTTCTGTTTGTTTGTAAAGGGTAAGGGCACGTAGCATATTTAAGATGATACATAGTGAACCAAGATCAAGACTACAAAGTTTCTTGGGATCTGGTACAATTCAAGAGCAGAAAATTAGCAAATCCAAGACTGACAAAGGTGTCAGAATATAGTAGCAGATAAGAATTAAGCAAACAGCAGCTCAGGGTTCCTTATAGGAGAAGATGTGCCATCAGAGGGAAAGCTAGAAAGGAAAGAATGAGTATAGGATGAATATAGAGCAGTGGTTCCCAACCTTGGGTCCCTAGATGTTTTTGGTCGACAACTCCCAGAAATCATGGTAAACACAGCTAATGGTGAAGGTTTCTGGAAACTTTAGTCCAATGTTAAATGATTTTTTAAAAGCAAATTGATTTAAATCATGATTGAAATTACAAATTAAATTTAAAAAATGAATTTTTTAAATTGTCAAAAAGTCCAATTTAAAAAAAAATTAAATAATGATTTAGATCTGGTTGATTAAAATAAAATGTACCCTGACATTTTGCAGATATAATTTCCTGTCTAATCCTTTTCCCGTGAGAGAGCAAGGCATTCTGTTCCGATTTTGATAAGAGATGTCAAAGATTTTGCACATATTACAAATACTTCAAAATGTTGCTGGTGCTGCTTCATTGATAACAACTTTTAAGGATTGTTGTTATGTACCATACAATCACTTCTAATTTATGGCATCCCTATGATTTAATGACTGCCAGTGTTCTTAGTATTTTAACAGCCTTGCTCAGGTCTTGAAAAACAAAGATCTGTGGCTTGCTTCATTGAGTCACTCCATCTCATTTTAGGCCTTCCTCTTTTTATTTTGTCTTCCACTTTTCTTAGTAATGTCTCTTCAAGTAAGTTGTGTCTTCCTATTATATGTCCAAAGTACAATGGCTTCAATTCAGTCATTTTGTCTTCTAGTGAGGCTTCAGATTTGGTTCAGTCTTTGGTCCATGTACCGTATTTTTCCGTCTATAAGACACTACTTTTTCCTAA